GACTGGAAGGGGAGATCTGATGCCAGAGCAGAAATCTGCCTAATATTTGAGTTTCAATTTGATTATAAAGCCTTATATTACCCCATATTTGTCCCCCCCCACCGCTCTTCTGTGCCTAGCAGCTCAGGTTGGAGGAAGAGTCACAATGCAGGCTGAGGTCTGAGCCTTCAAAAAGCCTCTTTGAAGTAGTGAGGTCAATAAGGAGGTCACCAGTTGAGAGGACAACTGGGTCCCATCACGCAGGGTCCTCATGGAGAAAACCTACCACTGCAAGGTCAAGTGTGTTGTGGGTGATCTCTGGGAGAAAGGGGACTGAACTGAACCTTTAATGAGGCTTGGCTTAGACAGAGACCAAAACCTAAGCTAGTACTTTGCTGATGTGATTTATTTATTCCTACACTTCATACCACTTAACAGGACTGTGTTGGGAGTAAACAGATGCCAGGCACTGTGTTTGATTTTGTTCCAGTGAGCAAAGACAGCTGCTAATGGGGATTACTGAAGGTTATTGCTTGAAGCCCCCGTGGCAGAAATCCAGCCTCCTCTGCTAATTGCTGAGATGATCATTTTGTATTGTGTGCCCACCAGGTGGCCAGAAACATATACTCGGTTCTTGTGGGAAGGTAGTTTCCAGACTCACTGTATATCCTGCACTTGCCACCTAAAGTGGTTAATGAGTGACTAACACTTTCTTAGTCAGCTGAACCATGGCCAAAATGGCTGTACATCACTCCAGACCTAACTGGCAGCTATAACTTAAAGCAACAGCCACAGTCGGAGTTAGGTTCGTTCTTGCCAGGTTATTTGCAACAACAAACAAAAGTTGCATCCAGAAAGAACGTCACTGAAATAACAAAAATCACAGCCAAGCTACAGTCAATGGGAGCATCTCTAAAGCCACATATTCTGGCTGTCCTGTAGGTCAGAAGAAAAGTGACTTCCAGAGGAGACGGCCCCCAACTCTAAAAACCCTTCCGTTGGTCACAGCATGTCTAATCCCAAGAGCCAAGATCAAGAACATCTTGCCTGGTCCAGGCCTTGATGGGATGTAGAGCAGGAGAGGGTTTCAGATACCTGTCTAAGGTACTTATATGACCTAGATTGTTGCAGGCTTTGCACCCTTTAATGAACTGATCCTTTCAAACTCAGTAGGGTAGCTCATACAAGCAATCCTCAGACTTATGACACAACTGGTTCCTAAAAAACTGTGTCAATTTATAAATGTCGTAAGTGCCACTCATTGTAACTCGAAATATCTTAAGTCGAGGACCACCTGTATCCCTATTTTTTTCTCGGGAAGCTGCAGCACAGAGAGGCAGTGACTTGTGAAGCCCAACTGTCTCACCACCGTGCTCTCCTTGCTGTCTTCTCCCCTAGGGTCTTGGCCATTCAGGACCTCAAAGGTACTCACCATTTGCAGGTATATTTCATGAAAGCCCGTGCAAAGCGCAGTGACTGTACCTGAAGACAGAAGGAAAGAAAGAAAGGTTGTATTTATAGCTGTGACCTAGAGTGCATCTTAAGAGTAAAAAGCCAACATAAGAAGTGGTCCCACCAGCTAATAAAATATTAGAAAACCACAAAATATAGTTGGACATATAAAACCTGGATAACTTCTGTGATAGACCAGTGTCTCATGGGAAATTCTTCAAACCCTGCCCAAAACCATGTCCGAGTAGAACAAAGCATCTCTCTTGGCTGCCTAACGGTCCGAGAAGATAGCACCATGTAGTTTCAAAAGTGCATTCCTCAAACTGCCGCAGAATGGCTTTCGTTGTTGTTTAAATCTATCTGGTTATGAGAACCAACCCCCAAACAGGAACTTGAGTTCATCTCAATATAATCAAGTCTCCCTATATGTCACTCTCCCTAATTATTTTTAAAACTGGGGCAAGAAAAATTGTCAGCCAAAGTTTGGCCCACCCTACAGTCTACCTAGGTTGCATCTTCCTTTAGCTTCAATCCAATCTGGTTAATTTTAACCTTCTCTCTTCTTTTCTGCCCCTTGCCCAGTTTTCCACATACCAGTAACATGAACAGTGTTAGATTGAGAGATGCGGCAACTGTCCTATTTTTCCTGGGCCACTGTCCTCTTTCACCTCTGACTTCGAGAGACCAGGGCTCCACTCTGCTAAGTTCTTTCCAGGAGTTGGCAGCTTACAAAGAGAAAATAACTTGTGGTTTTCTACATCCCGAGCATTCGCCCTGCCCCAGCGGCAATGCATTTTCTAAGAAAAGCCTCCTCAAGTGTCTGACTGCATCTCCTGCACAATGCAATTCTTTTGGGCCAGGTTTACTGACAATGTTACAACATGATTAGTAAAGACCCAGGCTTGAATTTCAGAACCCAGTTACATTTCCAGACCTGGCAGTTAAGGAAAATAATCGCTCCATTTACAAACCGGGTGCATTTGGTGTGGAAGACACTGTGATAAATGATATGTTTGGTCTCCTCCAATGTTCATTAAAGACAACAGAAAGGCTGGCATTAAAGTAATGTAAAGTAATTGAAGTAATGTAGCCCTGGCAGGTGTACATGCTTTGAGACGGGGAGGGCTTATTCAACAAGTTAGCGTGAATAGACAAACTGAAATGGTTAAATACAAAAATCATGTGCAGCAGGACAGTGCAAAATTGCTGGGAATCCATTTGCTGGGAATTCACAAGAATCTGCAGACCTCCAAGCAGACCGATTGGATGTGTGAGCTGTGTTGGCTTGTGGTTTGAGGAAAGGTTCCCAAAACCTGCATGTCTTTGAAATCATCCTCCCCTGCTGCCACGCTGCAGACAGCTGAGGATGACTGGATTCACTCCCTTGGGGTTTCTCCTCTCTCCTTTCCCACACAAAGAACCTGCTTCTTTCAGTTATCAACTCAGATCTGCCCAGAATTGGCTGACCACACATCGTGACACTGTCCTGACCCTAGGACGTAACAGATTGCTGGATAAGAAACGGCTTGAGGTGGGGTTGTGATGTTGCTAGGACTGACCACTGGTAAATGATGGCAGGCCAGACCAAAAGGTTAGCTCGAAAAGGTTTATTTGGGGGGGGGGTTAAGTACGTTTCAGGTTTGGAGGATTCCCTACAGTATGCAATAGGCTCAGGCATCCACTGTGTGGATGAGCATGGGGAAAGGGATCTGTCTTTTCTCTTCCTTCCCTTTTCCACTGCAGGAGAGAAGTGACAAGTCTTTTCCCAAACAAGTCCCTGTTCCTCCCCTACCCTCCACCTCGCTTTACCAGGATCACAAGTTGAGGCTTTTGAGAAACTGCGAAGCACAGAGCTCTCCATGTGGCTGAAAATCGGATGCCAATATTAGCCCCCTTTTATCCCCACACAGGCATATGCACACTCTTGGCAGGGCTGTAGCTCCTAGACCCAAACAAGACAGCTGCTTCCCCAGGAAAGCCCTTGCCTAATTCTGCTAGGCTTCCTTGGAGGGGAACTTTTGAGCATTCATTAACCGGGCATCCTGGCTCTGCTGACTTCTCAAGGTGGTCCAGGCATGCGGACTGGGCATGCGGACTGGGCATTTTGTCAGCAGTGCCGCTGCTATTCATGGAGAACACAAGGGGACATAACATAATGCAAGGGGACATAACTTTTTCTGTTTAATTAGTGTCAACTAAGTGTTCGCATCTGAAACGGGGAAAGGGCAAATGCTTTCGACAGCCTGTAGGGATCAGGATGAGGGAAGGAAGGGAAAGGATCAAGTAAAAGGTGATTCTGGGCACATGCGGTATAAGCAGCTGTTTCATCACTGCCATGAAAATGTTGAGTCAGTGCCACAAGAAGCAACTTGTGAGCCTTTGACTATGACTTACATTCGTGTGGTCACAAGTCAGCAAAATGCATTTGGAAACAGTCTTTTTCTCTTGGATTGGCAAAACCCAGCCTGAGAACAGAACGGAGTGACAGTAGCTGCTATCATTTATAGAGCCCCTCGAGGGGGTTGGCTACTTAAAAGTATATCGACGTGGCACGGTGCAGTGTCATCAAGAGATACTCAAGGCAACTCTGAACAAGGTAGCACCGGTACTAGAAATATTATAGCTGCAATAGTGTAATGCTCAGCCTGGGCTACATAGCTCTGCTAAGAAGCAGGGTGTATAAGCTTGGGGAAAGTGGTGCACAAATGTGGTTGTACTCATCTGGAGTTACCTCCGATGCATGTGTGTACCACTGCATCCTGCCACGTGGACATACCCCCACAACCCAATGTCTAACCTTCAAGCAATAGAAAAAAAATGGGGAATTTAACTTTTTAGGCTGTGGATCTGTTTTTTATTCATTACTAGGCAAGCTGGAAATTAGTCTCCCATGTGGCTGGTGATGACATTTTTATTATCAAGATGGCCTCTGGCTGTTGGTCTCAGAAAATACCAATTAAAATCTTCACTTTCAAATTTATGTTCTGTTTAATTCATGGGGACAAGTGCTTTTTATTTCTTGAACTTTCAAACTGCTGGGCTGAGCGAAACGGACACAATTGCTGGTTGTTTTTGCTGGAGAGGTGCTGGGGGTAGAGGGATGGCGGTGGGTGCAGCAAAACGTGGCACAAGGGTGGCAACAAAAACAGCTGCAAGAGCAAGAGGTTGGCACTTCCTAGAACCAGACACATCCACTTCCAGACACTTTCCTGTGTCTACCCATAGTAACTGGTATCCATGTGGCTGAAGAAATAGAAAAACTTCCATCAAAGCCCCCTATCTCATCACAGGTACCATCTCTTTCACCATAGCACATAAAAGCATGAGCCCACATCAGGGCTGCATAGTGCTAGGTGTCATCTGTATTGCAGTGGATGACAGTCCCTATTCAAGAAGCTTGCAGTCTAACTAGAGTAAGGGCAGGAGAAGGAGACACAGCATGAGATGTCTTGGGCCAAAGGAAGTTCAGGTGGAAACAGCCTTCCTTCATTTACACAGTGGACCACATCCTGGTTCCCAGGGAGGTCACTTCTTTTTGGTTTACCCCTTTCTCTCTGTCTCTCTTCCAGAACTTTGCCAAAGAATTTGTGATCAGTGACCATAAAGAGCTGGATGAAGACTACATCAAGAACGAGCTGAAGAAAGCAGGGGGTGCTAATTATGACGCACAGACTGAGTAGGCACAATAACCTCCTGGTACCATCTGCCTGGATCTGGAAGGGAGGGGAAAGGCACAACCGACTAACAGAATCGAGCGATGAGGCAAACGAGAGAAAACACCGATTATTTGTGCACACCTAAGAAGTCCCTTCCCTCCTCCCGAGATGGACTTTTATTTTCCATTCTGTCTAATGATACTTCCCCTCTTCCATATGATCTGGTTCTTGATTTTTTTTTTTAACCAGCGTTGCACAAGTACCTCAGTCCACAAGCACGTGCCGATGCTTTCGATGGCATTTTGGTTTCACCTTGTTCTGCCCCAGCACTAGTCAGATTCAACCTTGCTGTTCTTAGAGACCTGCCGTTGTGTCTTTTTTGGGTATGTAAGTTTTGGTGGGATTCACACTGGTCTCAGTTTACCAACAGAAGTGTTGTGCACATGGAGTGTTATTTTCAGTTGTCCCTGATGGTATTCTTGGAAAATAATAATTTTTGTTCTCCAAGGCTCAGGACAACTTGAGTTGACTCCATTTAAATTTGGATTCAGTCATCTGAGCTTAATTGTCCAGCAGAGATCATGTTTATTAGCTGCTTAAAAACAAAGCTAATCCTGTTTTCAGCTCTTAATAAATGGAAAGATATCAATTTGCCTTAAAAATTGCTTGACAGTTGCTGAGCTGTGTGCTGCATCTCCATCCTTTCCTCCCCCTTAAAGATCAGATCCAACATGATTGGCATCTTTTTTGAGGTTATCATGGCAACAGTCAACTGGAGATCGAAATAAAATGTCTGGACGTTTGTTCACTATTTTGTGTACATTGGTGCCTGGGTTTGTATCCTGAATTTCTTAATGTAAAAAAATACATTGTTGGCAGGGGCCAAGGAGAATGAATTCAAACGCATAGATTTCTTTTTAAATGCCTGCAAAAAAATAACAGCCGCTGAATCCAAGAATCCAAGCAGCCTTTTTGTGTGTATGTATCTGTGCCCTCACGTAGGCCGGTTTATTACCACTTCTCTTGTGATTCACAGGCCTTAAGGCAATCAATGACGCTGTAGCTCATAACCCAAGAAAAGGAGCAAAGTGGACCTGTCCATTTGGAATAAAACGCTCAACCGCACTAGGTCAACACTTGTCATTTAACAGTGAAAAAAAATAACACAGGCACAATTTATTAGTTCCCCATTTTTTTTTTGTATGGCTTTTTTGTTTCATCTATGATGATTAAACCCTGAATTACATTTAAGGGAAACCTGTGTTGTACTGGGGTTTGGGAGTCAGTGCTATAAAAAAAAAACAACAACCATTACAGAAATAAATGTTTTTCAAGAACAATTTTTTCCTCTGATGGTGCCATTCTTTAACTGGTGTGCAAGGAGAATGCATAATATTTGGGTTTGGTGGCTCTCAGTTCTGAGCATTTGTGGTAGATGTGGGGCATGAGGTGCTGCAGCTCTTGCAATTGAGCTGCTGATTAGCCAAGTGAAATGCTAATTTAAGTGATGATGTTAGTGTTCACTGCCCCTGCCTGTTCTTCCCCATCCTGCAAGGCGGAGGTCACCACAGCTAGCTGACACACTTTGTTAAAGGAGTTCTGTGTCTTAAATTTTCAGGGCCACGAATACCATCTTGGAATTGTAATGAGGTCAGAGGGAGTTTCACACACGCACGTGTTTTAGGAGAAGGGAGGTCAGAAGTATATTTCTGACCAAGGAGTCCAAAAATGTACTAAGTTTAACAGTTTTCCTTAATGGCTGCTGCTTTGCATTGTAGTTCTGGGTGAATCAAACCAGACGCTTATGCTTCAGGTGAAGAAAGTGGCCATTTTCTGATAAGTTAAACCACTAAAGAAGAAGGATTTAGGGAATGATGGCATGTGGAGCTCTGACTTCTGACTCATCGGTTCACATGGGGTCCAGGTCAAGCAACTTTTTCTAAGTCGTTGCTCTTTGGCAGCCTAAGTGAAGCGGCTGTGCAGGTGGCCCCAGCTGAGTTCCTAGGTTTGGTGGCTCTATCACAAAAACCATCGCATCCAGCTTTGGAGCCTGGTTAGCCTTGATGCAGTGAACAAGGACAGTGCTCTCACACATGGAGGTGCTTGTTTTACATCATTGTTAAGCCGCATCATGGAGACAGGATGGAGATGGAAACATCGATGTTACCCGTGCTATATCATTTAAATGGTTGGAGGAAGTGGAAGCCAAATCCTGGCTTCTGCTTGGGCTGGTTTGCTCCAGTCCATCAGCACAGGACTTCTAAAAACTTTTCAGCCAGCTACCAAAGGATTTACCTGGACTGAGAGAAACCCTAGATAGTCAACTCTATATTGCCACCTTTCTCTCCTTTGGCACAGGAAGTGTTAGGAGAGCAACTGGGGAAAGAGGGCATGGTCTGGATGTCACCATACTCTAGTAATCTTTGGTCACCAGAACCACTTCCTGAGGCTGTTCTAATTTTCCCCCATGATGCAGACTGAGAAGATACACAATTACTTTTAGCTTCTGCCATTCTCGGGTCCTGTACTGAGGACTGCTCTTGTGATCATGAAGATCTGACTGTCAGACATCAGCAATGTAAATGGAGCACCTGTCACAACTCCTAAAATCTCACTTGTGCAAAACAGGAAGAGAAGAAAATCATTATTCCAGATACCAAGTCAGGACAAATCCTTAAGGAGATGCGAAGCGTGACCAATCACATGAACAATAAAGGAAGTTTTCTGTATCCAAATTAGATTTCATGAATATCAATGAGCCCCTGAAGCAGAGCTTTTTCTGCTGGTGCTGGGAAATCCAGAATTTCAGTCTCTGATTTCACTGGAAAGCAGTTAAGTGCAAGGCTGAGCACTTCTGAAACCCCGAACCCTATTCCCTATTTAGCGAGCTAGTCTCCCAACAGCAATGCAATAGCAAATTTAGTTGGGCCCGCACTTGCCTGACCCCACAGAAGAGCAAGGTAACTTTGTACCAAAAAATTGCTTCAAAACACACCCTTCTTTGCTTGCAAATTGAGCTGATAATCTTAAAGTTAGGCAGACCTTAAGGGATCAAGTCTTTCCTATCCCCCGTCCCCTGCACCACCCCCATGCTTTGATATAATAATTTTTTACATGAGAAATAAAACCAGTATGTGTTTGAAAATATTGATGCTGCACCAGCAGAGCATGCCCTGATGTCATATAATCTCTACAGCACTCAGTGGGTGCGTCTACATGTTCATTAATGTGCCTTAAATACTGCGCATTTAGTTTAGTATTTCCTTAATAAAGTTCTAACTAAATGTGCAGTACCTAGACTTACTGTGCAGTAGCACTGGCGCACACTTATTTAGTGATGCTTACTGCACATTAGCCTAATAACGCTGTGCAGTAGGGTATTAGCATGGTTTTTGCTGTGACACGCTACTGTGTAGTGTTATTAGGCTCATGCGCAGTAAGCATTTTGTGTAGATGCGCCCAGTGTTGTGAGTACTTAATCCCACAGAGAGAAGCTGGAGGCAAGGGTGAAAAAGAAGTTGAACTCTCTTCACTTTTACTCATATGTTCAGATCCAGCAAAGCCACTGGAGTTGTGCAGAGATTTTAATATTCAGAAAATATTGCTATCATCTCCTCTGCTAGCTAAACCTTCTCTCTAGGGTTTTCTCTTCTCTGGCAGGAAGAAGAACATACCTTTGTTTTTTCTGCTTGTCCAATTAAAATGTTTCCATGCTTTATCACTGTTTAATCATCATCCTATCTATCTTCATCAGAATGCTTTTACTCACATCTCAAAAGTGTTTTACAAAGCTCAGTACAGAGCAGCCCCTTACTCTCTTGGAATGGGACCTTGTACCCTGAATAGTCCTGAAGTCAACGGAGAACTTGAAGAGTAAAATACTACTCAATGGGCACGTCTACATGTGAAATTAATGTGACGCAATAAACTCTGGTGCATATTGTCCTGGAGTTTATTGCTCCCAGGTGCTACGTTTACATGTGCGTTTGGGACCGCAGCATATTGAGCCAAGTCAGAGCAGCCCTGGCTGGCAAGGGAGCCCGGGGGCTCAACCTGCCAGCCTGGGGATGCTCTGACCTGGCTCAACATGCTGCAGTGGGCTGGCTCTGGCATAAGGGTGCTCCAGTGCAGGACTAGCTGGAAGGCAGCCCTCATACTGAAGCACCTTGTGCCCCAGCCAATCCCGTCAGCATCTACACATGTTGCTGCGCACTAAAGTATGCTGACATAGGATAGTACTTGTGTTTACAAGTACTAACCTATGGCGGAGTTAATTAGTTTTCTGCAGCCTAATAGGGCTGCACATGTAGATGCTGAGTCTTTACTGCAGAGCTAATTAGGCAGCTTGTGTAGACACGTCCAATGAGAGGTGAATTGTGACTCTCTGCCCTGTGTTAGCCTTGCAGTGTGACTGATAGTACTGCATTCTGGGGTATATTTTAATGGAAGGAATATTAAGCTGTAAGTTTTAAACAAACCTCCAGAGTCTTCTTTTTGCCTTCACATAGTATTTGAAGCTCCAATTTCTTCCTTCCCCAACCTCTTCTATTAGGCTTTAAGCAACTATCAGTGCACGAAAGCTTCTGGCTCCTTGTTATGACTGCCCCTAAGTCAGCGGCACTCAATCTTTTGAGACTCCAGGCCTCACTCCATAGCTTGTGGGAACTGAGCGGCACCCCATTAAAAGAAAGTATGTATTTATGACAGTGCTCACCTCCTTACAGAGCAGGAGAACAGCCGGGCAGGGACAAGCCTGCGCCTGTATTGATCTGCTTATCTTCTCACACCTTGGCAGCACCCCTCAGAAGACCTCATGGCACCCTGAGTAGGAATCACCACCCCAAGTCTTTAGAGGACTTTTGCTCCAAGGGCATCACTCATGCTGCAGGCTTCGTGGGGGCGATGCCTGCAGGACTCTCTGCTAAGCATCCTCTTCCTTTGTCAAAACAAAGGCATGAATTAGTGGGAGTGACAACTCGTAGAGGGCCATGTCTGGCACAGAACAGCTTGAAACTGCTGCATGCTACTTTTATATTTTGCACCACGAAAGGTTTTCACATTATCAGTGCAGAAGATATAAAAGCAGCTTTAGCTCTTAGCAGGGAAGAGCTCTGGGGCAGTGCATTCCTGCTCGCCAAAGCACATTGGGCTGCAATGTGTTTTTGTAGGAAACAGCACATCTGCCCACTGCGGGCTGTTGACTTTGCTCTGAGTCAAAGAGATGTGTCTCCTCCTCTTCATGACTGGCTCTACAGCCAGTGTGACCCCAGGCAGAGGCTGGGCCTTTTCACCGAAAAACGGAAGTGGGCTGAATCAGGCAATCCTGGCTGCAGAGATCAGACCTTGCAAACCGTGTCTGGTAATCATTTCACAAATTAACAGAAGTTTAGGGCTGGAAGAGACCTTGTGAGATCACCAGGTCCAGTCCCCCTGTGCTGGGCAGGAAAGACTGTGGGGGTCAAATAACGCCAGCACAGTGTGCGTCCAGTCTCCTTTTGGAAGATCTCCAGGGTAGGTGCTTGCACCACCCCCGCTGGGAGTCTATTCCAGAGTCCGGTCGCACAAATCGTGAAGACGTGTTTCCTTATATCTGGTCTGAAACCTTCTAGGACTTTATGACCATTGCTCCTGGTTTTCCCCTGGGGCGCTTTGGTGAATCGTTGTTGGCCTAGCCCCTGATGCTCTCCCCTGATATATTTGTAAGCTGCCACCAAATCCCCCAGAAGTCTTTTCTTTTCTAGGCTGAACAGTCCCATATCTGTCAGCCTTTCCTCGTATGGCTTACTCTTCAGGCCTCTAATCTTATGAGCAGCTCTTCTCTGGACTCTCTCAAGCTTCTACTCATCCTTCTTGAAGTGCAGCGCCCAGAACTGGATGCACTACTCCAGCTGCAGCCTCCCCAGTGCTGAGTAGAGCAGAAGAATAACTTCCTTAGTTTTGCTTGAGATGCATCGGTTGATGCACATCAATGTATTGTTTGCTCTGCTAACTGTAGCATCACACTGGTGGCTCGTATTCATTTTATGGTCAGTGATGACATCCAGGTCCCTTTTGGATGTGGTGCTAGCTTTTCAATCGGTGTGCCACGAGAATTTTGGAATAGTGAGAAGAAAATTCTCTAGCCATCAAGCGCTAACGAATAAGTTGTGTCGATGTGATATTCACAGAAGACTCGTGCATGTGTTGGCTGTGGGGGAGAGGGAGAACCGGCCGAGCAGAAGGAAGTTCATCTACTGCCCATGTGTTGGCTATGGAGGATGTGCGGTTTGAGAGCCTCTGAACAGCCATGCTGGAGAATTTTGCCACAGCAATGAGCTGCTCATAATTACGGGGATGGGGA